ATAATTTTGGTTTTGATTTTGACTACTATAACCTTGATTGTTATAGTTGCCACGAGAACCTTGGTTACCTTGTGTGGGGAATAAATTTCAAGCGTTAATCCCCTTTCTTGAACCCCACTGTGATCATACACTAAAGTACGGTGGCGTCCAAAAGGGAAGAAGATAGAGCAGAAAAGTCGCCAACAAGTTTTAGGAACTTGTAAACCATTCACAGGGTGAAGGTTACACCCCTTAACGATCCAAGAGATCGTCAACTCCATAAGGTCTAGAACCAAATAAGGGTTCGGGGATGAAGGTACAAATCCAACCTAAAAGCGATTGAACCTGCCCTTATAATAGGCCTCTACTTTATTCTGATCGTATTCATGTGCGCTTTTTAATTAACATGCAATTAATAGGATTAACCCTAAACATGTTTATCTATGTTGGTTGAATATAATGCACAAATAAACTATTATTGGCGATCACTTTAAATTATAATCATATTAACCCTATACAAGATTATTAATTATCTTATTAAGCATGATTACAAGTACCAAATTCCCTTTAAACATGCATAAAAAGTGTGATCAAGCAATAAAAAGAAATAAGCATCAAGCAACATAACAATAATAAAATAATAATTATAAAGTTATAATAAAAATAATCGTGATTAAAATAATAATCAAAACAACAATCATCATAATAACAATCATGATCATCATAATCATAATAATCATAGCAATAATAAAATTATAATCATAATCATAACAATTATAAAAATAACCATAAATCATGTTAAAGCATAATAAAAAATAGCAAGATCCTAGGCATGATACTAACAAGATTAATAACAAACCCTAGCATGTCACTAAGCAATAAAAATCAAAGCTTTAGCCCTAACATGATACTAACAATCATAAATATTAGGAAGAACATAGAAGGCATCATAAAAATCATAATAACCATATTTGATATTAAAATTACCCTAGACATGATACTAGGAATATCATAATAATAACTTAAACATGATCTCTACATCATAATATCAATTAAAACAATTAAAGTACTTTCTTTGATGCCTCGTACCTCTTTCTAATAACAAAATACACATGTTAGTAACTACAAGGAAAATAATAAACAAACAATTAAATTAAATAATTGAAATAGAGATTTGGGACCAAACCCTCAGAAATTAAACCTTTCACGTCTAGGGCGAAGGCAACTTCGAATATGGCTAGGTGTATCTAGATCTTGTGAATGCGGAATTTTGTATTTGAAAAGCAATTTTAGAAAAAGAGAGAGAGAGAGTAATCAATAAAATCTTGATGAGAGTTGGTGAATGATTAGAGAGAATGAGAGAATTAATGATTACGAATGAAAACTGGTTGTAGGTGAATATAATTGAAAAGCTGGTTGTTGATGAATGAAAACGGAGTTTTTAATACGTTATTTATAGAGAAAATCAGCCAAAAAGATAAAATATCAAAACAGAGCATTGGCGCACGTAAAACGAGATTGGCGCCAACATTAGCGCCAGGCGCCAATGCCAGCGCCAGGCTTAGCGCTAGGCGCCAATGGCTGGCGTTGGGTGCTAATCCTGTTTTTGACGCATTTTCTAAAATCAGATAAATTTTGCCGTACAGGAGGATAAAATCGTATCTTTCCTCAAAAATGTTCTTTGATTTTAATTAAAACTCTGAAAAGTCAACAAAAGTCAATTTATCAATGCTAATTGAATTAGGAATGAAAAGAACCTTCTAGAAGAATCTAAAAGACTAAAACCATTCCTAATTGCATTAGGAATGATAAATCATATTAGGCCCTCCCCTAGATCATTAGGCCGCATATAAGGCTCAAACCGGGCCCAGTTTGGTAAATTGGCCATAACTTCCTCAATATTTATCGAAATGGGGCTTATAATATATCGTTGGAAAGCTCTAGTCAAGCCCCATCCAACTACACAACTATTGGACCCATATCATGGACCAACCAAACTGGATTGGCTGTTTTCTTAAAATAAGTTTTTAAAAACAGGGAGAAGAGAAAAGAAATTAAAACTATCCGCAACACTAGACTTTCCACACTTTTGCTTCATTCGATTATGATTCGTCGCGAAAGGCATGATTTGCCTTGAGGACTTAGGCCACCATAGAAAATTTGAATGACTTGATAGGTTGGAATTCCGTGGTGGGGACATTCCCTTTGGTACTCTTTATACCTCTCCCATGCTTCGTAGAGGCTTTCATTAGGTCTTTTCTTGAACCCTTGAATCAAAGCTCTAGCCTCCGTCGTTTTCTTTTGTGGGTAGAATCGAGACAAGAATTCCTTGGTGACTTCATCCCATGTTCGTAGGGAATTTGGCTTTACCTCCTTATCCAACCACTCCAAGGCTTGGCCTATGAGAGAAAATGGAAACAACTTTAGCTGGATGAACTCTTGAGAAACTCCGTTCACTTTGATAGTGTTGCAATACTTTTCGAACTCCTTGAGATGGTTCAACGGAATCTCATTCTTAGCTCCGCTATATTGTCTCCTTTCGATCAAAGCGATCATAGCCGGCCTAATTTCGAAATCATTCACCGGTGTTGTAGGTGGAGCAATTCCACTCTCAAACTTGTGCGCACCGGGAATTCCCAATTCTTTCAAAGCAACTCTTGGTTGTTCTCCCATGCCTAGTTCTTCTTCAAATCCTTCTTTGCTTGAGGAACTAAATTCCAAGGATAGACTAGCAATTCTTCTCCTTGAAAGAGTCCTTTCGATTTTCGGGCCAAAAGACACAATGGATCGATCACGAGCTCTATGCATGCAAAACTCAATTAAAATATTAGTAGCACGGCTACAAATGTAGCCTTAAGAAACAAAATCTTTTTGTATTTTTTTTCTATTAAAGTGAAATAGACTCAACAACTAAAGCTAAGCACCAATATTACTCCCCGGCAACGGCGCCATTTTGACGAGGGGAAAACTAGGTCGTTATCTAATCTTCTCTCGGTCAAACACAATTTATAAAATCCTAAACCAACTTAATACAAGTATAAGGCAAGTATAGGGTCAAACCCAAAGGAGTGAGTCGGTAATAACTATAGCCTAAGTCAAGCTATTTCGAAGATTGTAGTGAGAAAATGGTTGGTATTATGGTAGCAAAATTAGACTAATCAAGTAATTCAAGAAGCTAAATACTAGGGATATAGGTTCCACATGCTAGTTCAATAATCATGCTAATCGATAATTTCTTCGTTTGATTCAAGTGTTGCAAAAGATAAACAATAGTAACAATCAAGAGAGTTCAAGAGCTATCTCCTAGAGGCCAAGCTAGGGGTCACTATGAATGGCTAATCAAGGAAATTCACAATCAAACTCAATCAATTAAAGCAATTCTCAAATTGATGGGTCATGTCATTAAGAATTACAATGCAATCTAGATTAATCTTATAGGTTGATCATTCCTAATCTAATTAATCACATGCAAAACTATGTCAACCAATTTAATTGCAACAGTTCAATCAATCTAAGATCTTCAACTAGCACAAATTATCAGTCAAGCATGCTTGCCCTTCTCCCTAGCAACTAATCTACCCACTAATCATGGTGTAACTCAAGAACAAATCACTAGAATTAACATTGATCATCATTCTAAATTAAAATCAAGAGAAAACAATATCAACTACAATATCCAATTTAAATCCAACCAATTCAAACAATCAAAGATGAAACTAAATCAAGCAAGTAAAGGGATGAACTAGAAGAAGAAATTCTTACTAACATAAATAATTGAAAATGAAGAAATCCAAGCACAATTGATCCAATGTTGAAATACAAATCCAATACCAAGAACTTCTCTCTAACTTCTCTCTCTAAAACTAAGCTAATGAAAATTATCTAAAAAGTTATCTTCAAAAAGGAATTACAAGTGTATTTATAGGCAAAGAAGGAAAACGGGCTCCCCGCGCCCTCTCTAGTAAACCCCGCGCCTGCGGAAAAATGGGTACGGAATCCTTAACAAACTCCGCGGGCTTTCTGGGCAACACCCGCGCTCGCGGCGAAGGCCTCCGCGCCCGCGACAAAGGAGCGGTGAATCCCCTGCTCACAAAGGGTGATCAGAGGGCCGCGGTCTCTCTGGTATGGAGCAGACTCTCCAGACTACCCGCGCCCGTGGGGAGCCTACGGCCAGACTGCGGAAAGTTTCTGGTCAAAATTTGCCAACTTGGTGCATACGAGCCCACGCCCGCGACCTTTAGTACTCGCGCCCGCGGCAGACTGGCAGGGCTTGATGTCCTCTCCAAGCACTCTCCATGCCCTCTCTGAGCCCTCTCCAAGCCGATTACTTCCTCCTTGCTTAGTCAATATAGCCCATCTTGATCCCCTTGCAAAGACAAATCCTAGGTACCTACAAGAACAAACAACTAAAAGGAATAAAAGGGAAAAAGAACCAAATAAAAGGAAAACACGAAGAAAACACGAAAAACACAAGGAAAGAAAGAAAGAAAGAAAGGAATTAAATGATAAAGGACCAAAAATAAGATAAGAAAGCATAAAAAGGAGATGAAATCATCCTAAAACACTACCCTATGAGTGTCGTAAATGACACTCATCACTCATCCACTGAAAATGCGAAGATATCCTTATTCTTCCTTAGAACCTCTATGAGTTGCACCCCCACTACTACAAAAATGGTCAAAGAGACCCAAACAAAGAGACCATTTTATTCAATAACCGGTCTCTTTGATTCAAGAGACCCAATGTTATAAATAACGGGTCTCTTTGTTATTACCTTTGGGAGGGGAAAATTAACTGAAACCCTTTATTGAAGATAACAGGTCTCTCTTGATTTTTTTTTTTAAAAAAATATTAAAAGAGGGACCTGTTTTATTAAATAATCGGTCTTTAGATCTAAAACTTAAGACCACCTATTAAGTTAGGCGGTCTCTTGCCTGTTTGTTTTTTTTTTTACGACGTAATCATTTCTCTTTTAATCCCCTTTACTCCATGCAATCTGCTCCGTTAGATATGACCTTTTTTCTTTGAAATCAACCGTTATATATGACCTATTATTTATTTAATTCTCTCTCCTCCTTCAACCCTAGCTTCCAGCCTCCCCATTCCCCCCTTCTTTTTCTTGTATGGTTGAAATCGCTCCTTCCCCTAATTTTCATATGCAACCAACTATCTCCTTCATCCATTCTCTCTCCTCATCTCCGCCCAACTGTTGCGAACAACTCCACTGTATACCTCCTTCATCACCGCCTCGCGGTGGTAGCTCGCCATTCCCTTCCGATTAAAACACTCGGTACTCTCTCTTTGGGATCTAAGGTTTGTCTCTCTCTCCCTCCTTCATCTTATATTTCTGTATATTTTTCTGAATGTGTTAATTTTTTATTTGATTTTTGTGTGTAATTTTCTTTAATTTTGTTTGTGTAATTTATTTGGCAAATTGTTCTAAAGTTTGAATTTTAAATTTTGGAGAAATTTGGTGATAAGTTTCTGGAGCGGACTGATGAAATTTTCACTTTCTTTATTACAAAACTTATATTTTCGTTTGCAATCAATTATTAGATCAAAATCTATCTCAAAGTAACATACAAGTAGTTTTAAAATCACAATAGATTACCAGATCTCATCTTGAAAAGTTGTTTTATACTACCATCCATAGTCTATACGGAAGATTATATTGAAGTGAAAGTCGTATCTCTTTTCACAATTTATTTAATTTATCTTATTAATTTAAGAAATTTGTTTCAATGAATTAATCGTATTTTTTTCTTAAGAAAGAATTCTGTTTAACTATATACTTTTTCTTGCATTTTCTGTGTGTTACTGGGTATTAATGATTTTATCAGTTCAATTGGAATGAATAGTACTTTTTCTAAGGTAATTTAATTTTTGTGTGTTTTGGATTTCTGGATTTAAGATTTTTTTTAGGCGAAGAAGGTAGTTGTTGTTAACAAATTTTTGGGTTAGATTTTTGAGTTTTTCAGCTAATTCTTTTTATGCTAATTGCAGCTTATGAGTATATGAAGCATCTGGATCAGTTCATATTCGAAGCTAAAGACATTGTCCAACACTCCAACATGATATGAATATTTAAAGCTTTCGCTGAAGATGCGTATTAGAATTTTTTTTTACTTCGTACATATTTATGGGTTGTGTAATTTGTAGTCTTTACCATATACTTGTATAAAACATTAAATGCAATAATAATTTTAAATATTAAATACGAGTATTAAATTAAATAAGTTTTTTTTTTATTTTAAAATGTCACCAAGAGACCCGTTAAGTTTATAAGCGGTCTCTCTTTTATCAAAAAAGAGACTGTCTAACTTTAATAGGCAGTCTCAGTTTTCTCAAAAAAGATACCGCTTTTCTTCAATAGGCTGTCTAACTTTTTCCCATTCTAGAGACCGCCTCTAATAAAGCAGTCTCTTAGCCAAAGAGACCACTTAGCTAGAGACCGCCTCTAAGGCAGTCTCTTTGGCTTTTTTGGACGAGTCTCTTTGGCCTATTTTTTAGTAGTGCCCTACTCCTGGATCAATGTCTTTTCCAATTTTCACCGTTCTTGAAGGGTCTCCTTCCGTGAGCTTAATGGTCACATGCTCCCCACTAGGAAGAGGTCTAACAATCTCTTCTTTTGCGGGCTCAAAGTTTTCCATGGCCAATTTCTGCTTATCCTTTTCCTTGTAATATTCTTCGCATTACCTCTTCCTTAACTTCCTTTCAGCATGCTTGGCGGGCCTTGGCTCTGAGTCTGGCTGCTGCCTGGCCTTGGCGGGCTGCTTTAGGGCGGTTATGTAACATTGTTGAGCTGTTTTCTAACCCTCTTAGTTTCCTTGATTGCCCTTCATTAGTTGTATAAGCCATGGCAAAGTGATAAGTGGAAACCAACCCGCCTATCTTGTGGATGAGCGGTCTTCCCATGATCACATTGTAGGGTGAAGGAGAATCTATCACTAGAAATTCAGCTCAAACATCACGTCTTCTTGACCTTTCCCCTACTCGGACAGAAAGTTCAATTATGCCTTCTAGGTTAGTCCGGACCCATTAAACCCAGTAACTTCATAGCCTACCCTTTTCCGGTCCTTCCTGTCTAGCTTTAGCTCTTTGAACGCGCTGATGTATATGATGTTGACCGAGCTGCCCCCATCTATTAGTATTCGGTCTATCTACTAATTTGCAATCCTCATTGTCACCACCAAAGGGTCGTCATGAGGATAGATTATACCTTTCTGATCGTACTCATCGAATGTAGCTCGTGGTTGCGGGGGAAGGGGTGGCCACCTACGCTTCTCATTGTAGTTTATCTGGTGTATCATTGCTCGTAGGTCTGCTCGCGCTTTGTTCACGGTTCCGCCATGCACTGGCCCCCCGCTAATCACATACACCCTGGCCTCCGGCTTACTATCTCTGTCTCTATCCTCAGCGGGGCCTCTGTGACCCCCTCTACGGTCACGGCCTGCCCTGTCTTACTCTCTTTTTCTGGAGGAGTCAAAGTGTTGTTTGAACTGATTTAGGTATCCTCTTCTTACTAGATCCTCTATGTTATCCTTCAGGTGCGTGCATTTGTCGTCAGTGGTGTGGTCGTGATCCCTATGGAAGTCACACCACTTGCTGGGGTCACGGTTCCTGTTGACCATCCTTGGGGGCCTTTTCCACTTGTCATCAGCTTTGTTCATGCTAAAGATGTGAGACCTCGAGTGAGTGAGCAGGGTGTATTGATCGAACCTTCCAAGTCTTCCCCCTCTTTTCGGGTCTAACCTACTCACCCCCACAACTATATCCGCTTCTCTGCGACCTTGTTCAGCTTTGCTGGGTTGATCCACTCTGGCCGTGTTTTCAGCCTAGGTGACTTCTGCCCGCTTAACTGGGTCATTTGGCGCCTTCCTGCTCGGCATTTCTCTGTCAGTCTCATCTGCCTTTATGAACTCATGCGCTTTTCCTAGCGCTTCAGCCAGCGTCTTGAGTCTCTTGTGTACCATGTACGCTCTGAACGGCGGGCTCGGTAGCAAACCGCTCTGCATCGCCAGTAATCCTACCTCCTGGCTCATGTTTAGAATGGTTGTTGCCTCTTTGTTGAACCTGGTGATGAACTCTCTCAGGGGTTCGTCTTTCCCTTAAACTAACGACATCATCTTAGTGGTCATTTTAGTTCGATCAACCAGGGTAACGAAATGCTCCATAAACATCCTTTTCAGTTGGTTGTAAGAGTACACGGACCCCTTTGGGATGGCTCCGTACCACTCAGATGCCAACCCCTCCAAGGTTGGTGGGAACGCTTTGCACCAGACTGAATCCGTCATAGTGTACAGTACCATATGGTTTTTGAATGCTGAGACGTGATTCTTAGGTGTGGTGATCTCATTATATTTGCAGCTAGGCATCTTTAACTTTTCCATTGGTTCTTCTAGAATCTCCCTGCAAAATGGGGAATCATCTGGAACGACCTGAATCCGCACTCGCTTCTCCCTGTCCAGACTTGGTCCTTGCTCAGAGGCTGGTGACCTGCTGCGAGCGACCCGTATCTCTAGACTACCCTTAGCCCGGGCTACCTCTTCCACACTTCATTCTCAGTTCAGGTTCGGATCCTCCAGCTCCAATAATTTCTTCCTCAGCTAGACAAGCTCCTTTTGCTCTGGGATGAGAGCTATGGGTACTACCTTTTTAACTGTTGGCTCCGTAGCTATTGCTGTTGGCGATGAGATCGTTCCCTTACCAAGGTTGGTAAGGACTACCGTCATCGCTGCTAACTGCTCTTTACTGCACTTAGAGAGATTCTGCTGAATGGCTCACATGTTGACGGGCTACGATTTCTCGGTTACTTGTGTTGAAATGATAAGTTTGTTGTTCTTGCCTGTCAATGGCATTTCGAACTTGAAAGAAGAACTGGATCCCAATGGATCGACTGGTTTCGCCGCTACTTTGGTTGCAGCAGACGTCGGTCCCATGAGGTTGGATTTTTGTGAGATGGTGGATTTAGGATTCTCGACAGATCCTTTAAATTGGATCGGCTATTGCTACTGGTGTTTTTTGTGGTGATTGGTTGGCGTCATTGGCCTTAGGTATGGGTGTTTGCATGGATTCCTCTCCGGCCATGGTAGTTTATCAACTAGCCCCTTACTCGGCTGGTGAACCTCAGGTTAGATGATCCTTTCCCCTCCTTCTAGCACCAATTGTTCTAGGTATGGATCCAAGGGTTCTGCTGGGTAAGATGGGTCCCGTTCACAATCTACTCAAGGCAACACACGTATACTGCCCTCGGGGGTGGCTCGAGGAACCCCCCTCAAATGCCTAAGTTAGAGAGTGTTTTTAGAGAGAGAAAGTGTACTTGTAGAGATATAGAATGTGTAATAACTTGTGTTTCTTACCCCTTTCCATTGTACTTTTTCCTCTATTTATAGGTGTACGATCTCCTTTATGCAAAGTCCTGCCTGGTCAGCTCTGCGGGCTAACTCTATCGGGCTGGTGAGCCCCTCTTAGTCTTTCCTTTGGCAATTAATGCACACCCCGGGAGCTGGATGATAGTTCGGCGGGAGCTATCCTATACAGTTTCATCAGGGAGCTAAAAATCGAAGACATCAACAGAAGGACTTGTAGCATCCTTAGTAACAACAGTAGCATCGGCATCAGAAGAAAAGAGCAGAACATGCTCAGCAGAAGTTATGGGCTTCGCACCCGCAGTAGTAGTAGTCTCAACCTCCTTAGAGGGAAACTTAAGAACACTGTCTGCAAAATCATCAGCATTATTTTTTGAATCATCCAAAGCTTGATTAAGTGGTTGCTTTGCCACGGAGGTTTGAGGTACCTCCTGGCCGAAAGTCGTAGAAGGCTGCTTCTTAGGAGAAGCATCCTGCGCCACTAAGCCTCAGACCTTGAAGCAACTTCCTTGGGTGCAGGACGAGTACCACGACAACTCCCAATAGTAGAAGAGGAGGGTTCAGTCTCAGCAGGGTTAGCCCCTGCGTGGTCAGCAGCTGTCTTAGTACCGAAGACAGCTCGTAGCTTAGCTAGAGCTAAGCGCACCTCCTTCTTCCAAGAGATAGCATAAACCTCCAAGTTATCAAAAAGCTCTATGGTATTATTAGGGGTGGCGGTAAGGGGGTCCTTCCAGTTGTCAGCCAACCCAAGAATGCGCCTATCCAACTTATCATAGCCTGAAATTCAGGAGACCAAGAGACAAAAAAGCCTAAGGAAAAAGAAAGAAGAAAGAAGAAAGAAGAGAAAAGAAGAAAAGCATTCATAAAAGGCACAAAAAATAAAAACAAAGCTTACCAACCTCATGTGTGGAGCACAAACGCATGACAGAGAGCTGCTCATTGCCTACAATGTACAGGGAGTTAGGCAGCCAAATCTTGGGAAACTTTGCATCACTCGCTCCCGCTCCCTACAAAGCATCAAAGGCTTCAATCTCACGAGTAGAATTAGAGGGGGAAACGGTAACCCCAGCCATGTTGGTGTGAATCTCCCAGAAGTTGTGTGGCATAGCAAAAGAAGAAGGCACAGCAAAAGAAGAAGGCACCTTAACTTAGAAAAACTTGCCAGTCCAGTCCCGAAAGCGACCAAGCTTCGGGTAGGATAGAACTCTGCCCTCCTTGGGAGCCACATAGTACCATCCAGACTCAGAACCAGAAGTAGACCTTTTCAGGCTCATTACAGACATGAATAGGTCCAGAGACTCAGGATTCCTCTGAAACCGCAGAAACCACGGCAAGCTTATCAAAGTATGCAGAAAAGCAGGGTACTACATAGCAATGCAGAGGTTGAAAGCGCGAAATACCTTCTCCAGAGTGGGGTCAAGGGGAAACCTCAAACCCAAGTCTAGATGGGAGGCAAACACTGCAATATGATCAACGGGGGGAGAAGACTGCTTTGCACCCTCAGTAGGAAGAACTAGCTCATAGCCTTGACTAAACCCATAAAATTTCTACCCCACAGATGCAAGATTCAACCTCCTTGCATCCTTACGCCAGTTAGAATCCAGCACACAGTTCTTGGGACCATGGCATTTGTCATCCATATAAAAGTCAAATTTTCCCTCCTCAACAGGCTCAACCACATAAGTAGGCTGACAATCATAAAAGACACACTCACTGGGAGACTCAGCCATTCTGTCCGAGGCAGCAGTCGAAGAGAGAGACAGTGAAGTTGTAGCAACGTTCCCACCACGTACTACATAATGGTCAAACTGATGCATGTCAGCCATGTGATCAAGCCAAGCAAAAGAATTTAAAAGCTGAACATAG